TTTTTGACAGCTTTCTGAAGTCCATCATTGATGGCCCCAAAGAAGGACAATTTCTGTCCATCAACATTATTGGATTCATCATCACAACCCAGGATGCAAAACTGTTTATCAGCTGGCTTGACAACAGCACAATCAGAGTCCTTGAGGACAAAGCTCAGCTTGGAAGTCAGCAGGCTTTTCTTGAGCTCAAACAAGGATTTGATGACTTTGAAAGGTGACATTGTGGAAAGTTTGTCAGTGAGACTGGCCTTGCAAATCACTGATCTGTACTGGATCCCTTGCTTCTGGACACAGTTCAAGCTGCTTTCTTCTTGCTTGCCAAAGAAAAGTCTGGTTTGGGTTTCATTGTTCTGCCTTGTTGCACCCTGGCATAGAAAACAGAAGAAAATTGATATGGAGTGATTTGTAATCACATTCACTGTCTTTCTTGCACTTCCAAATGACTCATACAATATATGATGAGGAACATGTTCACTTTGAATTTTAAATACAATATTTCAAAATGAAGATTAATGCAAGATTCAGCGTGGTACACAATTGAAAATATAATTCAAAAGATTCTGTATAAATAGCTCTTAACAAGAAATTGTCTCAACCAACTCAAGAATAATTTTCATTTTCAAAAGTGTGTGAAAAATTAATGAACTTGATGATTCACATTTTTGACAACTGTTAGCAGGTGTTTGTCGGCTAATTTTGAAAATCAGAAATCTATAAATTATTTTTTTTGTAGTTGAGGACTCACTTGGTAATGGTGAGGAATACATTTTCCCCATGGCCTAAGCTCCCAGTGTCCAAATGGACAAGGCTGAGTATTGCAGCTCTCAAAGTTGTTCCCAGGGGACTCCACTATTCTGCCATTCCCAGTCACGGCCACACCATAGTCCATACACATCTGAGGGTCCACCTGGAGGTAGTTGTTGGCACTAGAGTCAGGTCCAGTGGTAGTGAGCATGCAAAGGAGGGTGACTGTCCTGGTGCCTCCACCACATGTCACAGAGCACTCAGAGTAGGTCACCTTCCATTCCACTGCTCTGGTTGGGATTGCCTCTGACATGGCACCTTCATATGGATGCACCAAAGGCATTCTTTCAAGAACAGAATTGTGGTCCACTGATGGGTCATCTGCTGTAGACCTCAGAACTTGTGCTGTCTCCTATGTACATACAATAAAGAAGAGTGTTGGTTCATAAGTACAGTACTGTATAGTGTGTGCTTCATATGTGTTTTAGGCAGTCAATGAGTGCTACCAAATCTTCAAAATGGTAACAAATATTCTTATATAGTCACAAAGCCCAGATCTAGTTTTTTCTGCTGTTGGAAGGGATTATTTTTATGGGCATGATAAATATTCACATGATGCTGAATTGAAAATTTGAGGATTTTCATGGAAAAGAATCTCTAATAAAATATTGTTAATCTCAAAATAGTTGGAAAGATTCAGACTTAGAGACTTTTTGGGAATACCCAAACAACTGTCAAACTTTTCAACCATCCTTCATTTTGTACATTCAAATCAAGAATAATAAAGTCATTTGAAAAATCTGCTCTGAAATTATTGGCACTCACTTTTTTGTTCTTGGGTTGTTCAGGAACAGTCCTTGCCTTGTGCAAGAGTAAATCAGCAATGGACACCCACAGGCTCTGACTGACCAAAGGGGGTTGCTTTTGGTCTCCATCAACACTGATGCATTTGCCAAGTTTGCAGATTTGTCCTTCTCCACAAACTGTGAATTCTACTGCTGGGTGACTCCTGACAATCTTGGCTCCATTGGTGCAGTACAAGTCATAGCAGATGTCCTTTATTGAATATGGTCACATATTGTGTTAAGAACTAACCATGAATTTAAAAAAAGGGTATTCTCAAGAGTACAAACCTCTTGATTTTTCACTGCAGAAAACAGGTTACCATAGTGCAAAGCACACTGTTCATCAGCTGAGAAAACCCTGGTATTTGACTTGGCTTCTTCTTCTTCTTCTGCATTCATGCCAGATAATATTCCTGGTGTACTTGATGGGTTTGTGGGATTGTTTTGTTGTCTCAGGCAAGTTGCATGTCTAAAATCAAATCAGGAAGATGTCTCATTTGGAAAGCTTAGAATTGAAATTTGAACATAGGAACATTATTAGTAGAAGAAGAGTTCAAGCAGCAGTAAAACTTTTCAAACAATAATTTAAATGCTTGAGCATTTGTCTTGAAATTCACTCCTGCTTGAGAAGTCATGGTCTTGAACTCAGTGGTTGTAAAACACATTTTTAAATGCTTATAAAGAAATGTGGCTTAACATACTATCAGCACCATAAGTGACTGGAGTCTTACACCAGGAATTTCAGTTATCAGCCAAACCTGTTTACTTCCATTTACTGCTGTTTTACCTGACTTGCTTATCATACAACATTCATCTTGATTCTCCAACAGACTTAAGTACATAAATAGGGACTGTATGGTATAAAAACTTATCTTAATATTTAATAAAGCATGACTAAACTTTCATTCTTGCCCTTGTCATACACAATGCAGTCAGAATCATCTTTTGAAATTCAATAAGCAGCAGTTTATTTAACAAAAAACTTATTGTATAATCTTTATTAAATCATGAATAATTAAATACTTCACTTCTTTCACTTGATATTCACAATGAAATCAGTATCATCTTGAGAAAAATTCAAAAAGCAGTTGATGCGGGCAGATTTTCAGAATAATTTTCAGAACAGTATTGAACCTATAATACCTGAGGCCAGAGGCAAGTGCAGTCTGTGAACATGTGGACCAGGTGGTCTTCCCTGGCCCAACAGACTCAGACATGATGTGGCCTGCATCAGGGCAGTCTTCAGCACCAACATCCCCATCATGGCCAACGCCAAGGTTGTGGGCCAGCTCATGGGCCATGACAAACACAGACTCAAAGCTGCGGCCTTCATTGACAGAACAGGATTGATCATTGCTGCAGATCCCATCAACCCATGACAATCCCATCACTGTTGTGTCCCCTGCAAAAAACAAAAAGCAAAAAAATTAAATGTTACCTGTTCAACCTTTCATGTAAACTTGAGATGAGAATGTGGCAGGCTGTTTATGAAAATGGCAGAATTAAAGTATCTTGAAAGACCTAAAGGTCCCCCTTGCAATTAATGTCATGTAAATTTTAAGAATTGAGAAAGAAAAATAAATCTGTGAGATGAGCTCCACATCTCTTGAGTGAAGAGCAGAAATGCTGCCAGGGTGCATGACTTGTGTAGAAAGCTACAATAAAACTGTCAAATAGGGCTGAATTTTGTTTCCTGGTCCAAAGAATGTTCTTTTTTTTACAATAGAACTGTTTTTCAGCTCAATCACATGCTATAGTATTTAAATTTTATCCCAAGAACTTCTGATAGGGCCCTTGCGTATAATGAATGAATGAACAGAACACTTTACTTGCCGCTTTTCAGCATTCACAAGGTTCAATCAAGATTTTCACATCCAAACCCCCTCCCCACCCAATCCAAATCAACTCAAAGACATTTAATCACTTCATAGCTGGAAACAGAGCACAAATGGATAACAAAAATAAAAGAAAATACAATCCACAAAATACAACTGGACATCTGACATGTATGCATACACCCACTCATTTCCTGACATTGAAAACAAAATAGCAGTAAAGCTTTACTTAAAGCACAAGGTCTTCAGCTTGTTTCTGTATGAGGTTTAGTTGAATGAACAATTTAGAGAGAATCTTTCATGAGAAATCATATAAGGCCAACAGTTTATCTTGATTGTGTATAAAGCATGCAAAAAAATATGAAAAACGTACGTGAAACAGGAGTGAATTTTTTTTATTGCGCCAAATAATATGTTTTTTTATTATGAATAGTTTTTCAGCTCAATAATATGCCATTTCAATCTCTATCGGAAGAACTTCTGTATACGCCCCCTTTGCGTATACAGCAGTGCTTTTTTCAACACATTACACCAGCTATGTGTAAAACTGCGCAGATTTTTTTTTTTTCTTGTGCCAAAAAATGTTCATCACAAGTTTTTTAGCTCAATCGTATCTCTGTCCCGAGCACTGTGTCATACCCCTCCCGTTTACAGCATCAGTATATTCAAACTCCGCTGAGACGACGAGAGTGCAGGTAAAAGTTCAGCGAGCGACATCTAACCTTGGATGGCGAGATCCCAGCCAGAAATGAGCAGCGCGTGGTCCCAGCCCACGGCATCCTGCCATCGTTCAGATGTCGCTGGCGTCGGCTTCCTCGCTGCAGCCCACGAGCAGAAGGCCTCCAGGTAGTCGACGATCTCCGTGCCGTCTTTCACCGGGATCGGAGGCCCGGCCGCATCGTCGGACAACACGTCGAGCTGGACAACAGTGATGCCCAGGGATGGACGGATGTGGTCGGCATCGAACAGGGCCTGGACTGCATTCACGAAGGCCAGGACGACGTCCACGACGCGGCTCATGGCGTCGCTGCCGCCGTCGGGGTTGCGGGATTCCATGAACCGCAGGAGGGCGGCATCTGGTAGCGGTTATTGTGGAGTATGAAAGCAACGAAGCCTACAATCCTGATTTTTATTTTATTTTTCATTCATTATTTTTCACACCGAGCAGCATTATTGAAAGCTGGGAAATAATTCAGTTGAAGGTTTTTCCGTGAATCCATCTTCAAATAAATCTAAATTTAATAAATATATCATCTATGTGATTGTTTCAAGCAGAGATGTATTATTTCAATTTATTTCTTCAATAATAATTGCAGACACAAATTTAAAACATATGTAATATTTGAAATTTTTCTTCTGAGTTTACTCTTCTACAGTAAAATCTCATTACAACAGACTCATGGGGACTTCAGAAAAAAAATGTATAACATATGATTTGATGTTACAAGATTTTAAAAATTTCTGACAGATTGAAATATTTGAAAAATTGAAACTAAATACAGTATATTCAATGTCTTCCTTTTCTGACCTTTTTAGATGTTTCCCGGTGTTTAAAACCTGTGATCTTCAAAAAGATATTTAAATTTTAATAACAAACATTTTACTCTGAATCACAGGTATACACTAGAATTTTTGTTGGCTTTCTGTGTTTACTTTTTAAGCAATTTCTGCATAGATTTGGAAAGGGTGCATGTTTCAAAGAAGCTTAAATTTAATTTTAAGCATTACAATAGTAGGGTTTCACAAACCTCTTTCAACATTACTTTCTGCTGGGACTTTAAAAAAAGATTTGTTATACTGAAAAATTTGTTGTAACAGAATTTTTTTCTGGAAATTTGTTGAAGATTGAAAGAGTGATTCCATGAGATCATGACTGAACAAAACACTTCAGTCCAAAATCCATTGTGCTGAAATGTGATCAAATCTAAAAACTTTTACTAAACATTGCATAGAGAAATTTTGACTGTGGGTCAGACATTTGAAAATTTATGGACATTCTCAGAAAAAATTTTTAAAGTTACGATTTTTTTGTACTAATGAAACCTACATACCTGTAAAAACAGCCAACTCCATGGTGTACTTTTCATCCACAGCCCTTGAATTTTCAGCTCCCTCTTTCTGACTGGTCTCATTTCTTGGCTAAAATAAATTATATAAAATACATAAATTCAATATACTGTATCTAATATGAATCCAATTGGAATGAAAGGCATGTTCAGAAGCAAAAAATTGAATGTGCACCTTGATGGTGAATCCCTTGCGAGAAGAGTTTCCTTCCATTTTGGCAGCAGCTTCATCAGGGCATGCAATTTCATTAGAATAAACATCAAGTGCCACAGTAAAAAAAAATGATTATAATATGTTTAAAAGTTCTGCAAACCTTTCAAACCGCAAAAGCTGGCCTTGTGTTCAGTTTTGTTTGAAGTCTTACTGTCCTTAACTGTGATGAGGGAATGAGGAATTGGGTCTTGAGATTCTTCATGCGACCTCTGTTGGCGACTGCTGGAGTCACCATCTGGCTTCAAAACCATTCTTCTTCCTTCCCTGCTCAGGAAAACACCTGTCTGGAAAGTCACAATTTTGGCACATTTTGATGAAAAGTGCACATGATGAAAATTGAAGACTTGGAGCATAGTTCTCAATATGTGCTCCATGAACTTACAGCAACAAAAAACCAAATATTTGTGTTGAGAAGAAAGAATTTGGGTCTAAAGTAATTAGCAATAACTTAAGTGTACCAAAAATATTAAGAAATAAAGCCTATACTAAAAGGATTTTACCATTTTTGCCTGAAAAAAGCTTCATTTGTCAAAATATTATTTTTCAAGAGGGGCTCTAGAAAGTTGTGTTAATTTCTATTTCACAAGATTTTGTCAATTGCTAAAGAAAAATAGATATTCATAAATAGCTTTTATTTTATTTTCTGGGATCCTTGTTGATATTAAATGCTACTGAAAGTATTTTTTTTATTTTTTGAAAAAAGAAAACAAAACCTGCACTGAAAAATTGAAAGTATTCTTCTGAAGCCCCTGTTTAAATAAAACAATATTTTAGAGCACATTACATATATTTGACCCCCACACAACAGACCTCCCAAAGAGCAAATATTTTTGCACAACAGACTGCCACTGGAGGCAGTTTCTCCTCATCCTGCACAATGCACTAAATCCACACAAAAGAATTCTGTTGGTTTCAAATTATTGGTAAAGAGTAATAATTTTAATTCTTTAATACAGTCAACCCCCGTCTAACGGACTTGATTTGTGCAAGGGACGAGTCTGTTAGACGAAAAGTCCTTTAAACAAATTCAATTACAAAAAAAATTAAAAATTATAATTTTCA